CAAATTTGTTAGCGCTGATTGCAGAACACCATAATTTAGAAGAACAAGACGCCAAGACCGATGTTGATGAGCCAGAGGCACACGATGATCGCTTTAAGTTCACGCAAACTGATGATGCCTCAGTCGTTTCCATCATGCATGTTCGGAGGTACAAACTGAGGAACTTCCAGAGTTAAGTCCACTGGAATTTGTGCCGAAGCTTACCAAGGAAGAACAAGAGGAAGAAGAGCGGAAGAAAAAAAAGAAGAAGAAGAAGAAGGCCAAGAAGGGTGATCCAGAGAGCTCAGGACCTGATGATGCAGATCCCGAAGATGACCAAGAAGATCAAGATGACGATGATGATGATCAAGGACCAGGCGCCAGTGGTGAGCCGAAGAAAGAGTTCAAGAACGACGATGAAGAAATGAAGGACGGTCCATCTGATGAAGAAGAAGGAGACGCTATGAAGGACGGTCCATCTGGTGAAGAAGAAGAAGAAGCCATGGCAGCCATGAAGAACGAAGAAGAAGAAGAAACCATGAAGGTCGAAGAAGGTTCACAAACTGCCGTGAAGGAAGAAGAAGATGAACCAGAAGATGACTCAATTGGGAGAAAGACAAATTATGATCGCACAAGTACTGCCTCTGACATTCCTTACGAAGCAGACAACCAAGGTCGAAATATGCGACCACGCTGATCTGAGCCGCAAGCACTACCAGAACCTGCAGAGTCCATGCCCGAGGTTCCACCTGCACAGTCAAGAACCTCCACGGCCCAGAGCGCTATGACCATTACGCCCATTGCTTCCGCCGCCATTGGTGATGATGAGCCTTTTGACCAGTCACAGTGAGATGACTTTCGAACCAGAAGACCTTAGATTTGGTAAGGCCATTTCGTGCGCTAAGCATGGACCGTACTACATGCGCATGAGTGATAGATTATGCAGTATTTGCTTTCCCAGAGCATCCTAGATTGAAAAAATTCAATCGCACTTGAAAATTTCAAGCGCCGCTTGAAAATATGTAAAAATCAATCGATTTTTCAAAAATTCAATCGAAAATTCAATCGAAAATTCTGTGTTTGATTGACATGTTTGACCATGTTTGATACTTTTGAAGGTTATTACTTGAGCCTTTATCTAAAGGTCCTAGGGCTATCCAGCCTATGAGGCTTGTCCAGCCTATATTTGTTGTGTCCAGCCCTGGGGCTATCCAGCCCATGAAGCTTGTCCAGCCTATACAGCCCTGCTGCTTTTCAAAGCCTTGCGCTCTTTGAGAGTGGAAAGTGCCTTTGTGAGGGCAGGCACCGCCATGTCCTTTTTGACATTTTTCTCGGGCATGAGTTTGGCCAGTTCATCCAAAGACTCAGAAGCCTTTTTTGTTCTCCAGTTTCACATTCTTCAGCAGGACTTTCTCACCATTCTGTTTGTTCAAGGCAAAGGCGCCAGCGTCAAGTGCAGCCATGTCCTTTTGGAAATTTCTGTTTTGAATTTTAATAAGTTTCTCTTCAATCTCCCCAGCCTTGGTCTTGTCACCAATTTCACTCAATTGGGCCCACTTGTCAGCCTTGGGTTTGTCTTTGTTCCTCTCTTCATTGTTTTTGATGCCCATTGCCTTGGCCCCAGCCCATATCCTTTCCTTGAAGCTATCCAGCCCATATTCTTTTGGTGTGGGCTGTCCAGCCCATATCCTTTCTTTGGAGCTATCCAGCCCATATTTTTTTGGTGTGGGCTGTCCAGCCCATATCCTTTCTTTTGGTGTGGGCTGTCCAGCCCATATCCTTTCTTTGGTGCTATCCAGCCCATATGCTTTTGGGGCTGGCCAGCCCATATTCTTTTGGGTCTTTCCAGCCCATATTCTTTTGGGGCTGTCCAGCCCAGATCCTTTCCTTGGGGCTGTCCAGCCCATATCTTTTCTTTGGCGCTATCCAGCCCATATCTTTTCTGTGGGACTATCCAGCCCATATCTTTTCTTTTGGTGATCTTCCAGCGCCTTTTTTGTCAGTTTTTTGCTCCTTTTGGACGGTTCTTCTTCTTCTTCTTCTGGGTTTTCTTCCTCTAGCCCATTTTCTTCTTCTGGCGCATCTTCTTCTTTTTCTGGTTCATTTTTTGGTTCTTCGTCATTTTTTCTTCAGAATGCTGGCTGCAGGCTTGCGAAAAGCAGATGGCCTTTTCATTACCAGCAGCTAATGTGAACCTAGTGCTTGAGCTATGCAAACTCCTGCAAATACACAATGAGTGTTAAAGGCTATCCAGCCCAAAATGTGCTTGTTCAAACAGATTCTGAGAGGCTTTCCAGCCCAAAAACTTCTGAGAAACACAGTTTTATTTGAGTTTCTATAATTTCATGTGATTTCATGGGATTTCATAGGATATCATTGGATTTCATGGGATTTCATGGAACATCATGGGATTTCATGTGATTTCATATGATTTCTTTTGTTTTTTGAATATTTTTGTTTTTTTGACATATTGTTTTTTAGTTTCATGGGCTTTCCAGCTCACATTTTAAAACAACCTCGGGCTATCCAGCCAAACCACTTTACATATTCAATGGGCTGTCCAGCCCATAATTCTATGGGCTTTTCAGCCCAACTACTACACTTTCTTGGGTCCTTCTTGAAACTGTGAGTTGAATCACTTTAAATATTCCATGGGCTCTCCAGCCCAATCACTTCAATTTGAACTGGCTCTCCCAGAGCTAAAATTCCTTTTGGTGCTTTCCAGCCCAGATCAAAACAAACTCACACAGATCTAAAAGATCACCTGTAAAATCCTGAGGGCTGTCCAGCCCAAATGAAAAATCAATCCTCCCTTTAAAGCATTGGGCTATCCAGCCCAAATGAAACTCAATCATGCCGTACAAACACCGGGCTGTCCAGCCCAAATGAAATAATCAATCCTTCCTTCAAAACATGGGCTGCCATCTTACATATACACCCCCTCAAAACCTTGAGGGCTGTCCAGCCCAGCCATGAAAGCCCTTGAGCCATACCAAGGGTGAAGGAATCACATCAAAGTTCACAGGGCTGTCCAGCCCAAGTGTGACAGAAACCCTGGGGGCTGTCCAGCCCAAAGCAACCAAAAGAAAACCTCAGAGTTCAACATATGTGAAATTTGGGACTATCCAGCCCAAAAACACAAAACCTATCCAGCCCAAGCTGCAAAGCTTCGTTTTTGCCATGGACCGAAGCCCATTGAAGATGGTTCAGGGATTTGTACCCCTCTGCGCTGGCCTGGGCCTGGGAGGGCTTTCCAGCCCATAATTTTTCATATTTATCAAACACAATTTTAACAAACACTGTTTTTATCAACTACACGCCTATCAAACACTTCACTACAGATGGCCTAACTCCTTCAAGGCATCTCCCAAGCCCTTCCTGGCCCTGCGACTCCTGCAGTTGTCGCAGTTTCCCCTCATACAACCCCTCAGCCCAAACTGGGCCCTGACTTCAGAGGTCTTTGGGAGGTAGCTCATGTAGCCACACTCCCTGCAGAGTTTGAAGGTGGAGTCTTCCCAGATTTCAAAACCTTCAGGGCTGTCCAGCCCAAGTGTGAAGAACCACCCTTGTTTTGAAGCCTTCAGGGCTGTCCAGCCCAACTATCTTAAAAGGTTGGGGGGCTGTCCAGCCCAAATATTGAATGGCTGAGGGCTGTCCAGCCCAGAGTGAGAAAACACACACACACACTTCCTTAAAACGTTGAAAGAAACACTAAACTAAACAAGTTTCTTCCAAGTCCCAAGCAGAGGAGTCCCAGCTTTCCTGCTCCTGCTGGCTCCAGGCTGACCAGTCGTCACCCCTGGTCCACCACACCCCACTCACCGGCCAGGACCATATGCAGCCCATCCTAGGCCCTGTAACCTCCTCCACTCCTCAGCTGCACTGATCTTCACTTCTCCCTTGCCACCCTCTCCCTTGACCTTCTCCCTTGCCTCCTGCCCAACCCACAAGTGTGAAAGGGCTATCCAGCCCACAAGCGCGAAAGAGCTGTAGCCCACTGAGTTGGAATGCGAGGACAAAAACACAGTGCAATCCAGCCCAAAGCCAACAAAAAACACAGGGGTGTCCAGCCCAAAACCAGCAACAAGACACGGGTCCAGCCCAAAGCCAGCAACAAAACACAG